TAAATAAATGGCATCACTATCCCCATTAAGCATACTTCAGGGAAAAAAAATTGTGAAAGGTGAAAGCAATGGCACCCAGGGACACAAACCCAAAGTTTGTTTGAAATTATACATATATATACCGCATATATATACAGCAGACACAAAACAATCTGCTGGGTTTGGTACAAAGGCAACACCATCTCTGCCTCAGTTAACACCCAAAGAAAAAAAGTCCAGCCTGGGTCTGAAATGCTTGAGTATCTGATGGCAAATAGAGACCTTCAGTACACATGAGAAGTCAGCAGGTTTTGTCTTAGACTTACCTGGCAGCTTTGCTGGCAATTCCAGCAGGGAGGATCTGAGAGTGAATCCCTGCCGGGTAGAGCTGAAACATGCTGGCAGAGTGGCCCGGTGATGCAAATGATTCTGTGGATGGTCAATGTCTGTCCCTCAAAACATTTGTCTGGTGCTCTCCAGAAATGTCCAATAAAAACCAAACTGCCTGAGCCAGTCCCTTGCCTGGAGTTTTCTCACATTAGCCCTCAGCCATGCTGTGTATGTAAATCCAAAGCCTGAAGATGCTTTCAGACTACATTTATGTAAAATAAATATTTATCTGAATAAATCAACATGGTTATAATTTCTGCCCTCACAAGGTGTAGATCCAAATCCACCGAGATCATTATGATCTTTCCCTTGAGGCTTTGGATTGGGCATTAAATACTGGAATTCTTCACTGTCTCTGAGGCTACAAAGGAATTTGTCTTTGGCCACTTACATTTACTGAGCAAATACTGATCAGTGGGTAAAATGGTATCACCTTGCTAGCTCTGTCATATGTAGTAGTCAAGAAATGACAGAATAATCTTTGCTAAACCTGCTGAAGGCACAGTAGGAGCAAAAGGCCAGTGCATCCATCAATCTGCTACAACATAGTTATTCAAGCTTTTAATCTGTTGTACTAGAAGAGAGAGGTCTTGCCATATGTTTCAACTCTACCATTTACAAAAACAACAACAAAATCATAAAAATAGACATTTGACATTTTTTAGCATGAAAGAAACTCAACATGTTCCACTTCTGTAGCAAATTGGATAATACATCACTGTGTTGACATGCCTTATACTCTTGCAACTTATTCATTTCCTCCTGCATTTGAAAGGGCGGTATGTTCCCTGTGTTTTCTAAATCAGCCATTTGATGTTGCTGCCTTATTCAGATTTACAGCCTTTTCCCTTCTCTAGTATTTTGTACTGCTGGTGTCTCTGTGGTGACTAGAGCCAGTGCACCCTTCCTAGGTGGTGAGCATTTAGGAAAATGCTTTGGCTCGCTGCAGCTGGGCAGCTGCTCACCTGCTCTCTCCTGTGCAGATTGGTGTTTGGAATTCATACAGTGGCCTTAACATGACGGACAGCAACAAGGACCGATCAACCAACATCACGGATTCCTTGGCTAACCGGACACTCATCGTCACCACCATTTTGGTAAGTCTCACTGGGTGGAGGTAACACCACCCACCATGCTGTAGGACACAGGTATTGCTGACAGTGGCTTACGGGGCTCTCCGCAGCCACCTTTGCCAACTCCGCCCTGTACTCCACGGCTGTTTTCCACCACACTGAACAGTGTTTTGTTAAACTAGCTTGTTTTCAAGCAAGTGTTTTGGTTTAGACTCAGAGTCAACATACACATTCATCTGCCCACAAGATTGATTCAAAAATACCCCGCTGCCAATGAAAGACTCTCAGGAACCTCTGCCTCCAAAATTGTTTAGCTTACTTCAGTATTTCAGAGTTGAACACTGCATATTTTTTTCCCCAGAAGAATGAACACATACAAATACTCAGCTTTGTAGTCAGTGCTTACACACCCTTCCCTTTTACTGAAAATGAGATGAATAGGAATGAAAGTAGCAAACAGTGGATAGACAGATTGAGGAATGTCCTTATTATGACAAACGGAAAATATGCAACTGGGTATTCATGAGTTGTCCAGCCTCATGCTTTCTCCCTGGCCAGTAAAGCCACTTTTTTCAATTATTCTGCCTACTTCCTCAGGAGGAGGGAAAGATCTCAAAGGCTCCCTCTACACTCCTCTTCTATTGCCAGAGGTCTTTTGCCACATTAAGCTGCAGAAACCTACTTGTTCTGATCTTCTTCTATTCAAAATCCTTTAAAAAGAAAAGCAACAAGGTACTTCGCAATCTACCTGTGCTGTTCTCCATTCTCTCATGTGAATACCTGCTCAGCTCTCAGATATTTTATACATTTGAAGTTTTTCTTCAGTAAAGATTTATTTCTCACAGAATACCCAGTTTTAGGTTCTCCTTTTTCTATTATTTAGATGTCTCTCTCCTTCAACATTCCTTCCTGTCCCTTAGGAAGGGATCTTGGATCTGATTTTGGAGCTGCTAAGCACTACTTTAATTAAGGCTCCTGGGAGCTATGAATGGTCTGTTCCACTGAAAATTAGGGCCCTTATGCTTATTGCTAATTGATTCAGTCAATTTGTTAACACACCTAAAACAGCTTTTAATGGACATGGTAAATTACTGGTTTCCATCTAATTGCAATTCATTTTTTAAATATTCACACAGTTTAGAGAAACTGATATAATCTCAAACAAGCCTCATTTCTACTGCTACGTGTCTACTGTCTTTTTCTATAGGAAGATCCCTATGTTATGTACAAGAAGTCTGACAAGCCCTTGTATGGAAATGACAGATTCGAGGGTTATTGCCTGGACTTACTAAAGGAGCTGTCAAATATTTTAGGCTTCATCTATGAGGTCAAACTAGTTTCTGATGGTAAATATGGAGCCCAGAATGACAAAGGAGAGTGGAATGGGATGGTCAAAGAACTCATAGATCATGTAAGACTGAATCCTTCTCTCTTTATTCTCTTTTCATCTATGGTATTTTATATGCAGCTAGCCCAAATGAAATGTTTACATTAGTTTTCTTTTTTTTAGAGCCATTGATCTGTCTTTATTGCCAGTTGTCAGAGTAGGAATTCACATCAGCATGTCTGAACCAACAGTTTGCGTGTTTTGGGGGCAACCTCCATCTGCAGTGTGGCAACTGGTACTGAGCTTGCATAGGTCCTGCCCACCTCTTGTCTACAAATTCCAACAACAAAGGCTGAGCTACCAGTTCACCTCTGCCCTGCAGGAGCCTCTGATCTGTGGACGTAGTCCTGACCAGGTGCTCTGGCAGTCCTTACTCAGTTTGCCCCATTGCACAGAACTGAGCTTCATGTCCCCAGTCATACCTCTCCTACTCCCAGGAAAGTAATGAATAGCCCTCTGCCTGCAAAAGAAGAGAGAGTATCATGTATGCCATAATACCTAGCAAAGTTAAATGTTGTCACACACTTCAGATTTCATAGTCAAATTTAGTTTAGATTTTAATATTTGGGGGGAAAATGGAAGGAATAGTAGTTCATTTGCTGAACATGAAAAAGCATGAGTATTTTCCCATTTGTGTTTTCAGAAAGCTGATCTGGCCGTTGCTCCTCTCACTATTACCTATGTAAGAGAGAAAGTAATTGATTTTTCCAAGCCCTTCATGACACTGGGAATCAGTATCTTGTACCGGAAACCCAATGGGACAAACCCTGGTGTTTTCTCCTTTCTAAACCCTCTTTCTCCTGATATTTGGATGTATGTTCTCCTAGCCTGCCTTGGAGTCAGTTGTGTCCTCTTTGTCATTGCAAGGTAAGTCAAAGACATAGTTTTAGATGCATCCACATTAACTACTTCTCTTCCCATAGGTGTTGCATGGGATCTGCCAAGTAGATATAGTATAATACTATCCTAAGAGTTTTATCCAGTTCTAAAACATAACGTTCTAGAAAGCCTCTAGGTATTCCATATCAGCACTGCTATCACTTTTATATATTGCAACGTGATGAAATTTTACTTTCCTTGAGGGCTGAACAGAGAGAAATATCCAATGAAATGTGTCAGCCTTTCTTTGTCAGTACACAACACCTCAGCAGAGCACATGTTGAAAAGCAGTTTATATTACTTGTGTGTAAGCACTTCTCTTTTCCACCAACAGTGCATCCGGTTAAAAGGTAAGAAAGAGGGTATGAACATATTTTTACTGAAGGTTGTTCATTAGCTCAGCTGATTTCCCTTTGAAAATACAAGATAACATGACTGGGAACCTGAGGGGACAATCCACAAGATGAAGTATACCCAAGGCTCTCTCCCAGCGCTGTCCTGAGGTGCAACCTGCTTGTGTGCGGAGTGCACCTTGCCCTGTCAGTGGCAGGATCCTGGTGATGTCCATATTCAAAACCAACAGCAAATAAGCACATACACATTGCTTTTCCAAATTAAGCCCAAGCTCATAAAGTTCTCAAAGGCAGGTGTTCCACAAAGTTTCTGGACCAGTGGACCACAGTCGTCTCCAGAGGGCCAGCAGAACACTCAATACCCTTATCATTGAACTTTACCTTAAAAGCTCTAGACAGCTAATATGGTTTCACAAACTGGATACAAACTATGTATTGTGGGCTCAGAGACCATGGACCACAGTCTGGGAGTCAGTTGCTCTAGGGCTTTGAACAGGAGCAAGCCAAGCATGTAACAAAATGAACTCATTTGAGGTATACTTTTTCCTATACTCCTCAATAAAGCTGGACTCTGAACTGGCATAGTTATTGTCCTTTTCTTCAGATAGTGGTTTTGGAATTTAATTTCCAACTCTTTCTATTTGATCTCATCCTATCCTTCATTTTTTCATTTTCCTAGTTTAAAACATAAATATTTTTACTAGTGCTTCACAGAGATTCATGTTTTGATTCTTCTTACTGAGGATCCCTAATCAAGTCTTTCCCCACTTCTGTTATGTATTGTTTTGCATATACATCAACAATGTATTCCATATTAATAAGGCACATGGAAGATATTTATACTATGAAATATAGGAACTGAAGTGATGTATCATTGGAAGTTCACACATTCACATCACAGCAAAAGTGGCAGTAACGCTGCAGTTTTTATTGCAAATGGTGGCATTCAACTTTAAGAAGTCAGCAATAATGTATATATTCCAATGTATATAAAAATATACCTCATTCAAAGGTCATAAAATAATTACAATAATCTGAATTATTAATTCTAATAATATAGCACATTATGCCTGACTTCTGTGTGAGCCAGGTCAAATTAAGCTCTTGTTGCTTTTCCTCCTATTCACTGTTTTCTTTTAATCAAAATGCACAGCCCTTCAAAACCTATATTCATAAGAGCAGTTCTCTCAGAGTGACTGGCCTCAAACATACATTTCTATGTGGTCCACTGAGGAGCCCTTGTTTCAGGTGGACAACCTATGTGAATGCTTTGCTTTTTCACATGTTTCTATACCCGTACCAAAGTACAGGAATTTGCGGGATTTGCTTTTTCCTTTAAATTGCTGAGACTGTGAAGAAGGAGGAGGGAATTAGAGGAGGAGAGGTCATGGGTTAATTTATTAGTGTTGGCCCTAGGTAAAAGAAAGAGTTCATCCATCCCTGGCAGCTATGGGACTGTACACAATTAGTCATGACTTCCCACAAGCTCTTGCAGTGGCTCACTGTACCATAAATAATAACTCTTACTGTACGCAAATCATGATCTCATTCATGACTAATATTAAATCTCCTCAACTGTGACAGATTGACTTTTCTGCAGTCGTGTGCCAAGACTAAAAACGTCCCACAATCCTCTCCACCTCGGAACTGGCAGAAGGGAAAACAAAGCTGGAGCTGAGTTTTCCTCAGCGCTTCTGTTTTTTAGAATAACAGCATTGAGTTTGTAAGAATAAATAAGCATCGGGATGGTCCTCTATCTGCTCACAGATCTGCCTATGCACAGATGCACAGCCAGGAGCAAACCAAAGGGAAACAAATAATCCGCTGTGAAACCTGTTCACTTTTCTCTTTGGCTGTTAAATCTTGCTCCTAATCAGTGTAGCCTTTGGGTAAATCCATAGGTTCACCCTGTCTAACTGTGTTATGTTTTGTTTCTTAAATCTTTCTAAAAAGCAGTAGTTCCAGGAGTAGCATAACTAATGAAGCCTGGTTTTCCTACAGATTTGTGGTTTATGGTGGATTGTGAATGCCAGTGGAAGTTTGTTTATCTGTCTCTTTGCTTTCCCTGCAGCTGGAGGATTTATAGGCAATCTTTCCCATGAGGATTAACTGATATGTAACACGTTGTGAACTCATCCTGCAGCTTCTCTCTTAGTGGGGCTACTACTGTTTCACAACACTTGTACAAACGTAATAACCTCTCAGGCCTCTACCTATTTGTCAAATGTGGCTAAAATTATCTAAAAGGCTTACATGTCATTGAAGGTATAGATTCCCACACATTCATAATACACAGCACAGAACCTGACTTGTAACAACTACGTATATATAGTTTGCAAATTAGTCTCATAACTCACCTATTTTAGGAAAAGAGGAAAAGAGCCCACTAGTTCAGCAAAATAGTTAACAATTTTCTGAATATTTAATTTTTTTCTGACATAAATACTTTTTTTGAACTGATATATAAAACTGGCACCTAATTAGAATGTGACTGTAGAGGCTGAAGTACACAAAACCGTTTTCACATGTCATCTTAATTTATTTTAGAATTTATAAATTTTAATTTCCTACAAGTAGCTAAGCCATTCTTACATGCTATACCTAGACCTGTTCATGTCTCCAAATATGACAAGATTTCTGTAAGATTTGCTAAGTGTTGCAGCAAATACTGGTTAGATTGGTTTTAAGAACCTCAGGAAGCGCTTTTTAATGTTGCCATAGTAAATTGAATGGTTAACAGAATTTTGACATCAGTTTATGGAAGAGAAATACTTAAGAATAATTTTCATAGACTAGGATAATCTTCCTGTTATTTTTACAGACTTTTCAGCAGCTGAATGATATCTCATTTGTCTTTGAGCCTTATGTAGCCCTGTCATTATATTATTTTTTAAGCTCAAACACTGAAGTGTGAAGGGTTACAGACTGACAAAGCTCTTTTCCTAAATGCGCTGGCAGTGAATGAAGAAGGGGTTTTCTGCCAAAATTTCCCTTTACTGATAATCTCATGTCAGTTGTGCTGTCGATGTCAATGGTAGAGCTAGGTAGCTGAGGTAACCAACAGTGGTGAATAATGTCACACAGAGCCTTTATAAAAAGGTACTCAGGTGACCTTGAGCATCTTATCTGTATCATAATCATAATCCTCAGCATAGCTACTGCTGAAGGTCCAAAAAGGGAGAAAACCAGGGAAAAACAGCCAGGAAAACAGAAGGCCTGAGCAGAGAAATAGAGCAGAATTGTAAGCCAGCCTCTTCTTAGAGCTCAGCACAGCAGTAGAAACACAAGAAGAATATCAGTTTTCTTTCAAGGTCAAAAAGAAATATATAACCTAGTACCACGTTAAAGTATATACCCAGAGCTACAAAAATCTTTCCAGTTTGGCAGAAAGAGTTTTACTGCCAGAATTTCATTGCCACTTTCTAGCAACTGTTGTTTTGCTCTTTCGGTGATGGAGACATTTGTGTCAGACCTATTGACCATGGTTGTTGTCTGAAACGATGCAAAATCCCAACCTTGAGCTTCCCAGTCAGGTCAGTTATTTGTACACCTTCTTACTGTCCTGTGTTAACACTCAAGGACCCTATGGGTGAATGCTCAGCACAGGACTTCTTCACTTCTCTGGTGGTTGGCAGCTCAGGCAACCTACAGGTCCTAATTCTTGGTCTCTTGTTAAGGATGTGTTTCCCCACGTGTGCACGAACTGAGTAGGGAACACCTTTGTTGCTACACGATTGTTGCATCTATTACTCTAGCACAAAATTGAAACACTTGAGTTGAAATAACTTGAGGATTGCTTTTCTTCTAACTGGTGTATGCGTATGCAGAACGGTTGTATCTTGAATCTGAAAACTGAGTCTCTTGTTATTAATTTTAATACTACTCTACTAGTAATGGTAATATTGTGCAGCTAATGGCATCCTAAGCTATATACTTTTTCAGTTAGTGGGTTCATTACTATCAGAGTTCATTACTTCAGCTAAGCAAGGCACTCTACTTGCAACGATGCATAAATCCAATGCTTAATTATATTGTTGAAACAGTAATTAAAATGTATTGGCATGACATTGTCAATTAAAGCTATATTCATAAACTTAATGAGAAAGTATGCAGCAGGCCACAGAGCAGTGGGAAGCAACAGCAGGCAAGGTACCTTGGGGAGAAACAGTCCTTAACATAGCTCTGCCAGGTGTTGTGCAGAGCAGAAGGGACACGGTTTGCAGTTGCAGGACAGTGAGCTGGGATTGCAGCAGAGTTCTCCCATTAAAGGCAATCCTCTGTGTAATTCTCTCCCTGCAATGCTGACAACGTGGCCTTATGGCTTTCAGGCACTGCAATTGCTCCCAAATGCCTTCAAACAGTGGGCAACCTTTCCTTGCACTGCCACGGCAGCCCTGCACAGGGAGAGCACGTTCAGCATCGGGCATCTCAGCTACAGACGGCTAACGATGTTTGCCTTTAGAGGGCTGCTACTCCTTCATGATTTTCTAAACGCTTTACCCAGGAGCAGCTACATGGCTTCTAGTTGTCTGCCTGCCCCTGCAAATGTCTGTCTGTCTGCCAGCAGATCAGGCAGGGAAGCCGTGGGGCATTGCAGCAGCCTCAGCCTTGAGGGCTCTATCCTGAGAACGGGAGGAGTAAGGGAGTAGCCCTGCGCTAGATCCAGGACTGTGAAACCGGCTCCTGGCATTGCAGCGCTGCTCCACAGCTTGCAGGAGGCAGCTGCGAGACGTCCCGCGGACAGCCTTTCAGCTGAGGTTTCCTTTTT